GAAGATCAAGGAAAATTTACCAGTGGCACCCGAGGTGAATCATCCGGTGAAGCTCCCGGAAGAGAAATATTAAGGAACAAAAAGGGATCAGAACTAATTTGAAACCCCTCCAATCCACACTAGCCGATAAGAGCCGTTAATTGACACTCAACACTGATCTAGTGTGATAATCTGAAGAGGGCCGTCTTACTGATTGGTTCCCCGTCTGCCTTATAACCTGGCCAATTTGGTGACCTGCTCACTTGGCCTGATGAAGCTTTTGTGTCAAAAGCGAAACGTTGCCCAAATAAAAACTACCGATTGTTTATCAAGTTCTTCTGAAACGATGTCAAAAACTTTCCTCTTGAATGGCTTAGTTGGGACTACGTGCACTAGCGATATATCTGTAACAGAATGTGAATTGATGGCCACATGTGTTTGGTAAAATGGGTGCACAAACAGGGCAGACTGTCTGTGTAGCAAATCTTGGAACGGCATCGCTCAAGATGAGGAAGTTGGGATTAGGACACCTGGGATTTATCATCGAGTTTCAGTAGCTGTGCTGGTCCAAGCATCCAGTTATCCGAGCTCAGCTAAAGCCATTGTTCTGAAGGTCGATCAACCTGGCTTTCAGTCTCGGCAGCGCATGCGGATGCACTCTGTATTTTGACTTGCTACAGGATGTCTCCAGACGGAAAAGCTCAGCTTGGGGGGGCGCCAGGCGAAATCGTATGGCAACCCGAGTGGGAATGATCAATGCCACAAGCACCGTTGCGCAAAAGTGTACACTTACGTGTGCAGATTGCAAGAACAAGCTAAGTCAAATAACCAGATTTATACTGCAGTTACTGTAACTAGTGCGCTGAGGTTTGAAATCCGCCCTGTTTAGGGCTTGCCAAATGAACATACCCCCCAAAATGCGAAAAAATCGACCCCTCTGACCAAAGCTCAAATTCACGTTTGAGCTCATACGATGGATCCGGAGACTCGATAAGGGCCCTAGAAACTGTTCCGCAGAAGCCAGCTGTCGCATATTTTGACAACTAAGCCCCAAACAGGGAGAGATTGGTGACGGGCAGAGGAGGGTGTTGGGCAATCTTCCCACTTTAACCGGACCACATTATGT